GTTCCACGTTGGCAATGTTTGAGCTGTGATAAATACACTTCTGACGGCGACAGTATGCTAATCTGAGAACAACTGTGAGTGATCCGTCGCCTAACGAAAGTGGATATAGTAGGCCTCGCAGTTCATAGACGCTATTAAGTGAACTGTTTCCCGTATTGTGTCAGTGCATGTCCGTTTGGATGCGGGTTAGTTTAGTTTCTTACCAGAGAGGAACATTCTGCAGAAATAATATTTGTTTTTTAGTTGATCCATCAATAAAGGACCATTAGTTAATAGATGCACAAGGACAATTAATGGCATAAAACGGCTTAAAACAAGTTTATCTCACTCACTAGATATATTTTTTTATTGATGCATCACGGATGATTGTTTTATTATCCCCTCCACGGGTAATGCTGATTTCTAAAGTTTTATATACACTTTTTATCGTTAAAACACCCCTTAACGTGTTTTCCCATTAATCTGCCAATCTTTAACGGTGCTCATGGACAGTTGGAATGACAGACGAACAGACGCACCCCATTTTTGTTTCGAAACCTCTCGCGTAGGTACTCGAGCAAAACGTACATGCAACCTTCTGATTGCATTCTTATGACTCTAAATAAAAGAACACTTATGAGACTACCAAGCTGTTTTAAAAGGTTATCCAGTCTGGGTCTAGTATCAAATTGACACAATTATCTTATTTCGCGAAATGTATGTATATTTAGAAAGATATCTGACTGGTTTCATGGAAAGACGTAGACCACATTTATTGAAAGATGAAAAAAATATGGAGGAAGAAGAATTTCCTATTCATGAGCCACGCCAACATAGTTTTCGAGTTTTTCATCCATCAAACCTTGGCATATTCATTTCACCTGTATCACAACGGGTAGAGCTAGCATTGGGATGTGAATCAGCTTGGGTAACATTTAAAATATGAAAAACTACAAACATGTTGTGTGAAGTCCAGCCCAACTGGTGTATTTCGTAGGTGTGCAACATGTACCTCATGTAGAGCAGAACAAGAGGACGATAGTGAACATAATGGTTGGTTGTTTTTTTGTTTTACGCCGCACTCAGCAACATTACAGCTACGTGGCGGCTGTCTGTAAATAATCGAGTCTGGACCAGACAACCCAGTGATCGACAGCATGAGCACTGAACTACGCAGTTGGGATACGATGACATGTGTCAAGTCAGCGAGTCTAATCACCCAATTGCGGCAGTCGCCTCTTACGACAAGCATGTTTGGTGAAGAAAAATGCTTACCCGTATCTTCACGGGTTCGAGATCTTGTAATGCTTGCACTGGGTATGGATGTATAGGTTTAACATCACTGTATCAGCCGAAGATCATGTTGTTGGCCAAGAGTAGGTTGATCGTGTTGAATGCAACATCAGCAATATAAGCATAGTCAATGGCTCGTATTTCTGAAACTACATTTGTATCGTTCAAAGTTCATTTAGTTTCCAAATATTGGGACCCAGGATTATATAAATGTCATCTGAAAATGTACACATCTTTCGTTTTCATCTTCTCAATAATTAATTCATCCGAGGTCTGGATGGCCGCTGTGGTAGCCTAGTGGTTAAAGTGTTCGCTCGTCACGCCGAAGGCCCGGGTTCGACTCCCCACACGTGAAGCCCATTTCTGCTGTCCCCCATCGTGATGTTGCTGGAATATTGCTAAAGGCGGCGTAAAACCATTCTCACTCACTCGCTCACTGGTGAAGTCTGGTGAAGTGTCAGTTTTTGGCAGTGAATAATGCAAGTCGTCACAACGAGAGAGGATTTCTCTGACGCTTCGCTCAGCTCAAAGGTGAGGTGAGGTGAGGTGAAATTGGGTTTTACGTCGTGCTTGAGAATATTTCGCTCATATGACGACGTGCATGCATGTGTATGTGTATGTGCGGCTGCTTGTACTAGCCCAGACTGAAGCTGGTTTTATAGTGCTAGCCCACTGAGATACCATGCCGCAGTGAAGCATGAATACCCCACTCAGACACATTATACTGACTTCGAGCCGACCAGTCCTTGTTGTACCCATTAATGGCGAGCGCCAGGCAGGGACCAACAAGTACCATATTTTAACGTCTTTTGGTATGACGCGGTCGGGGATCCAACCCGCGACCTTCAACTCTCCGGGCGGACAGCTCAAAGGTAAGATGATCCTACTGCAGGTTTCACCCTTGTCTCGAAGCAGCATTTAATCAGCTCACCACACCCTAGATGCGGTTTAGATAATATAGAGAGGATATTATATGAGTGCCCTTGACATACTATGTTTACGGCACGTGTGCCTAAATTTTGGTATTTCCTGAGCGAGAGAGAGGGATATACCGATATTTAGGCACGAGTGTCGTAAACATAGTATGGTATGGGCACGAATTTAATATTGTTTATTACCGAAGTCGTCAAATTGAGGAAAATAAACCCAAATCTACTTTCAAACATAGGCTGTCTACCCGCCATCGCCGCATGTAGAGCGCAACGTCACAGAAGAAACGTGACGTCATATCACTGTTCATGACGTCACGTCACCATGACAAAGTGATATTTTGCCCTAGGGCATCGTATGAAAATATGAACCCCGATATGTTCGCCCTCATAGGTAATAAGGTCACATATGTTACACTCGGCTCATCACAGGTAGATTTCCATGTAGCTTGGACATATTATATCATATATGTAATACACCGTTCATCACAGCTCCGAGCGGCTGCTTACAAATATAGAAAACACAAGTGACACTCGGCTCGTCATAAACTGGAGTTAAATTATTTACCATATAAGACTAAAAATGAATATAATCTTGCAAAGCGCTTAAATTATGTATATGGCAACGTATGTTACACTTGGCTCGTCATAAAATAAATTAAGCTTATGTTATATGGCCCATCATAAACCCAGAGGCTGCTCAGATAGACGTCCACATATGTTATCCTCGGCTCTTTACAGTCCGAGAGGCAGCTGTAATCGTATTGCCTCATCTTGATTTACCTTCAGCTTAAAACAAGAGAAGCAGTTTAGTTCTGACATATTGTTATGCTACTCACAAATAGCTTTACAAATGCGCTGCATTGTTTCTTTTTAGATGTAGTAGAGGACTATGGCGTGTTAGCAACAGTTGTCAGACTGGGAGAAACGATTAGCCTGGAAATTTCTAGCCCATTCCAGAATATGTCATCTGACACAAAGTGTTACTAGAAGATTTTATACCTCAGTCATCTCACTTTTATGAGTGAGTGAGTGTAGTTTTACGCCGCACTCAGCAATATTCCATCTATATGGCGGCGGTCTGTAAATAATCGAGTCTGGGCCAGACAATCCAGTGATCAACAGCATGAGCATCGATCTGCGCAATTGTGAACCGATGACATGTGTCAACTAAGTCAGCGAGCCTGACCCCCCGATCCCGTTAGTCGCCTTTTACGACAAGCATGGTTATTGAACATCAGTTCTAACCCGGATCTTCACGTTGTGTGAAGATCACCTTTTCACCCTGGAATCTCAGCCAGTTCCAGTGGGGTGAATATTACCATCATTATCATTATTGCTATAATCATTGTTTTTTGTTATATTGTCGTTGTATTTGTACTGCTATTAAATTTGTTTTGCCTCTCTATTTCCCACTGTCATTGCAGTTCGTCTGTAGTGATTTTAAAACATAGTCAATTTCAGAAAACAATTGTTAATTAGACCACGTGTCTTTGCTGCTTGTCTTATGTACAGATTTCTAGATTAACTTCGTAATTCCATTTCGAAAATAACATCTGTATGGACACACAAACGACCCACTCACCACATCTCAGACGCAGATTGCATGGTTTTATATTCATGTGTGACACCTTGCACGCCCATAATCAGATGGAGCTAACATATGATTACAGATGTGACACACTGCTTACATAAATCCCTTGCTGGATATTCATATGTCATTACCGCAACGGGATATATTGACAGACTGTCGGGATGCACGGAATGGTCGACCGAGCGCTGGGAAAAGCCTGCTTTGTTTGTCTGTTTATTCATTGTTGTGAACTGTACACCAGTTACACGTTCAGGGTATCGTTCCTCAAAGCGATATTAGCGCAAAGATGATCGTAGTTTAGCATAGACTTACGACAGTCGTAGCGCACGATCGCATTGTGGAACGGGGTCCTGGGCCCTGTTCCTCAAAGCGATCGTAGCGCTACGACTGTCGTAAGTCTATGTTAAAGTATGGGAGTTACGATCATCTTAGCGCTACGATCGCTTTGGGGAACGGGGCCGAGGGCCCTGTTCCTCAAAGCGATCGTAGCGCTACGACTGTCGTAAGTCTATGTTAAAGTATGGGAGTTACGATCATCTTAGCGCTACGATCGCAATGTGGAACGGGGCCATGGTCAGCAAGTCTTTCCATCAGATCCACGTACATGTGGGCGTCGTGCCCAGTTAACTCCATAATTAACTGATGTGTGATCCTTGTGTTTGCGTGACCTTAGAAGATTTGGTTTTGTTTTGTCGTTGTTATTTAACGCCGCACTCAGCAATATTACAGCTATATGGGAGCGATCTGTAAATAATCGAGTCTGGACCTGACAATCCAGTGATCAGCATCACGGGCATCGATCAGCGCATTTGGGATACGATAACATATGCCAGCTAAGTCAACAAAGCCTGATCTACCGATCCCGTTAGTTGCCTGTTACAAGCATGGGTTGCTGGAGTCCAGTTCTAGCCCGGATCTTCACGGGTTTAAATTTGGAAGGAGTTCTGCAAGAAAGGGCCACTGCTTTCATGCCCAGTGAAATTGCTTTATGACACTTTTAGTAATATTCCACTTTAATATTCCGCTTTAACCACTATGGTCCCTACCGCACATGCGTCATTAAGATTATGCCTTCAGTGTTTGTATGTTTTATACATACATCTTGTGATTGCTCGAATTGCATATATATTGCCAAATTACAAACTGCGAGAACGAACATCACACAGGGCAGTTAGCTGAGATAAACAAGCCGTTTTTCCATATCCATGGCTATTTGGATCGACCAAGGTAAGCCCATAGCATAATGAGTTTAGTTTTCTGCAATTATGAACACTAGAAAGCAATGGGTGAGTGAGTTAAAATTTAAAGTCACATCGGCAGTATTTCAGCCATATCGTGACCATGAAAGTTGTAAATTTACAAATGCATACATGAAATAAACACAAACTTATATACTTACCTGTCTGCGAAGGACAGTAAAATAACTAGTCTATCACAGATTTGTACTTAAAACTAGCACATAACATTAAAAACACTATTTCTAAGTTAATGGTACAATATATAAATGGGCTGTATTGCCAACAACTGAAGGTAGATCACCATACTAGGGACCTAGAAAGCAATGGCATTCTGCGGGCAATGATATATTTATATAAGCAATTGCCAAATGGAAATCCCTGCTGTGTGTAGTTATCATGAAATGATCTCTGTGCAGAACTTGTGATTGTGTGATCTACCTATTTGTGTAGTATTTACTATAGTCGTTCTATTGGCTACTGGTGTAGACTTTGTCGAATGGATTGGTCAAGGTATCCAAGGGCTGCTTATGAAATGAAACAGTTTGATGAACAGGATAAAAAATGTTGGGTTTCTCATATTCGAATATCTGGTGGCTTTTCGTATATATGGATCGCTGAAGATTGCGGTAGTACTAATGTTTTCACAAAGATTTTGGGACATACAATTTCAAAACTGGCATTGTAACATCTCAGGCCATCATTTCTAAAACATTTAAGTGGTTTTAAATCTGTTTTGGGTGTTGAAAGTATATTCTTGAATTGTTTCCCGAAAAGGACCTGCGGATGGTATATTGTAAATTTAGTTGTGCATCTCATAAATTGAAAGTTCGGTTAGATAGATTTAAATGTTATGATAACCCAAATGCATTGTTATGTACTAAATGTCTCCTGGGCTGTATTGAAGACGAATTTCTCTTTTATTTATTTGTTTTTACCTGAATGTTATTATAATAATCCGTCTGCTCCAAAAAAGTACCAATTGCTAGCATCCACAAATACAAAACTTGTATTTAGAAATAAATTTGCCAGTTGATATTATTTTGAATGATAAATGCGCACTGTGTGCAGTTTTTCTATATTGCAATATCGGTCACGTGGTCCCAAATGCAAACGTGTCACTTGTCACTTGTCACATTGCAGAACTTGCAAAACCTAGAAGACTACAAACAAATAAGAGAAAGCTTATGATTAGATAAGTTCTGGCAATGGTAACAGATTTATCTTATCAATTGTTGACTTGAGAATCTGTGTACGTAGCTTTATGACAAAGTTATTAAAATGCGCCAAGAAGAGTAACAAACGTTTACTGAAAGAGAGGTGAAATGTTGGGTGGTGAATATCTATTCCACTTTAAAGACTGTACGTGCGTTTATGAAAAATGTAACTTTGTTTCATATAAAGTTTTAGTATAATGTTTTCTCAAAATACCCAATACATCGTTTAATAGACTTGCAGGAAGACATCTCAACTTCAGGGATGTGATTTACAAGCGCCGTTTGGATTTTCAGGCCCGACGCACACGTCAGATGTTTTAATGTGAACAACACTTAATGATTGTTAAGCTGTCAGAACTTTCAAGGACTTTAAACACTTTTTTGAACCGTAAATTTCATTTACACAATTCAAGGTCTTGTACAAAATCTGCGTCTAGACGCATTCTGTATGCTCCTAAGAGGAATGGCGCAAAACGAAGTTGCTAGATATTCTAATTGTCATCGTATAACAATATCATCCATTTTGAGAGGTTAGCAATAACGTTTCATGGACCGTCGTGGTAATGTCATGTCAATAAGACAACCCTGTTTGGCTGTTGCAATTGCAGTTAACTAACACCTAAAGTGTCTTATGCATTCTCAGCATCACGAAATAACCGCATTTCTCAATAATGGATTTGTTAGATTTTTCTAATGTTTCAGGATTTGCACTCTTACCTTATAACAGTATTAGAAAGGCTCAGCGAAAACCAAATGTAATGTATATACTTAGGATATAGTGCGGATGCACTCTTTGAAGTATTCAGTACGTGTATTCAATACGATTCAATGAATCATCTGAACAATGAATGCATGTTTCGTATTAAAAGGTGTTGCATGTTTCATCATGTATCGAAACTGGTTGCTGTGCATGCGATTTCGTATTCTTTTCCATCAATATACTGGGGGACCTATACGATACATATTTTCACGTATAGTTAGTAGGGCTGTAACGATGCATCGAACTATCGATGGATTGCAATTGGTTTAGTCACCGATAGCAATTAATAAATGGGAGAAACGAAAGTATCGATAGTTTAGTAACTGACTTCCGTTGATAAAGGCGCAGCGCAAAATACAGGAAGTACCAGATTCGTTCACTTTGATTTAGAGTTATCCACCCCTGTTACCTCTTAAACAAAATCCATCTGGGTTTCGCGTTTCTTGTCAGTTATCATCCTCGATAATCTCCAGGGTATACGTTACGTCACGTTACGTAAAGTCACGTACGTTACGTAACGTATACCCTGGAGTTTATCGAGGATGGTCAGTTATTAAAAGAGACTGAAACTGCTTCAGCTTGTTTTATTTCATATAAACTATACATTCATTTGGGACATGACTTCAAATGAGACAATTCTAGGAGGAAAAAACTATTGCAATAGTATTGGAAAAGTCACCCTTAATAGTTAGTATACCATTGAAAAAATAGAACGTTCAGCAGGGGCGGATCCAAAGGGCGGTGCGGGGATGCGGATCCACTTCTCCTGATTTATGTACATAACCCAAAAAAACCTGAATTCAGGATTTGGAATTGCGATTTATTTATTCTTGATTCTTGAATGATAGTCGTTCATTCTACCACATGTGCTATGGCGACTGATGCCGTCACAGTTGTATATTTTTGTCAGTCACCATTAACTCATCTTCGTATATTTGTAAATGTCATGTTAATAGTGTAGCATCTGTTACACACGTGCCATATGATCTGATTTGCACAACAATTAATTGTACCACACTTTACAGCTGGCGTAATGCCCAATGATATGCAGTTTATGTAGACATGTTGGCTAGAATGTTCAAACTCCAAATACGACTGAACACTAAAAATGTCTAAACGTGTCCAAACGCTGAACAGATTCCAAAACATGTTCAGATCTAAAAACAAAAACAAAAATGTTTTTCACAGTGTTTTCACAGAACAACGCCCTGTTTTATTATGGGGATTACACTACGTATTTATACGTTGATAAGAATCAGCTTTTGTTACCTAATTTGTTTCAGCATACAATAATTTACGTAATACATGTGTAATGACGTTGAGGTCTGAGGACCCATCCACGTAAACGGATAAACTGTCGATATTGTAAACACATCCTGACCAGACAAACAAGTGACCAACTTGCCACGTTTTCGGGGGTGCGATGCCATACCATACTAACCGCCCTATACATATACATTTAGTTGTCAAAAGGTGCAGCATTTTGTGAATGGTTAATCGTTGTTATCCAACATGTAACCCCAAGTTAGGCTCGGTTTCGAATATTAACATAAAACATGGTACGTCAAAATTGTTTGGCCGATCTATGAATGTGTGGACAGTTATGCGATTGTGCTTAGAGATAAAGTGCAGTCCCAAATATAACACAAATTACATGTCCTGTACAGGTACCAAATGAATAAACATATACCACGTGCATCTTGATTCATAATTAACAATCGGCATACTTTGGTATATTCATCCCGCATTCACTCTTCGCTACAATTCTTGCTGGGATGATGTGTCAGCCTCACAAGCCGTCGTGATACACCAATCAGCGGATACAGTTTCCTGTACAGCTTTCCCTTCGTATAGTGAAGTTAGGCAGCTTGAATAATCACAGGTAAGGTTGGCACCTTATTTTGCAACACATATCAGTGCATTGAAGCCTTAAACAATTAGTTACTCTTATGATATTTGTGTATCAAAGATATCTCCTCAGTCGATTGTTTTAACGAAAGCGTATTACCTTATTACAAACATGTTCTTGGAGCAGGAATAATTTTCCATCTCTTCAAATTTACTCAGTAACGTTTGTTCATCAGTTTCGTTAAAATCATTAACTGATCCGCGCTGGCTGAGTGGGTAGACGGCTGACTTTGTGTGCTGGAGATTACGTGCCTGACTCTGAAGGTGTGGGTTCGAATCCAGGATGGACTCAACCCAACAAAAGTACTAGAATCTGAAAGTGTAAGCCAAGATGTAACATATATTACATTAACTGATCCGACTTTGGAATAATACTGTTTTCCCACAACTGGAGAGACTGATTTCCAGCCTTGGGATGTAAAACATCCACTTATATGCTCTCTCACTTGCTGCGTCAGTCACCCGTTTCAGTAGTATGTTATGTAAGCCATTCTAAAAAAGAAGAAATATGCTGTCCTTTCTGAATGACCAGGAGGAGGATTTTGCCCTGCACAAAAGGAACTGATACTGATGTATTTCAACTTTATTGTCTTGGGAATATGAAAGGATAGTGTACAATGAGATGAAACGTAGACTGACAGGATCGGGTGGTCAGATTTGCTTATTGATCATCTCGATTGCATAGATCGATGTTCATGGTGTCAATTACTGTATGATTGCTACCTGGCTCCACTATTTACAGACCTCCACGATTCCGATTTCCGAAGTAGAAGCATACTTATCAGTTTAAAAGCATTTGCTTATTATGAAATTATTTATAAAAATGTGTTTTCTAATGAAACGATGTTTCACTGATCCTCAAGAACATCGAGTTAACATCATTTTTAAAATAGTTTAGATAAATGTTTTCTAAACTTACAAAGCAGTGAAACGTGTTTTAATAAACAGCTTGAAATATTGATTTGCCTGATCTGAACAACAGTTATGTCCTACAGAAGCACCACGATCAGAATCACTATTGGAATAAGCAACACATGAATTCTATTTTTCACATTGAATGTTGATTTGACAGCGCTATCATACTCAACCATACCGGAACACACTACCTACAGCTTAAACGGCATGTGTCAATCAGTCGTATAGGCGGAGAACATTCTTGTACAAGACTTGTGGTTTTAATTCGAGGAGCAAAATCAACGCTTATAAAGCATCGACAAATCACACGTCGACCACTTCGTGCAACAAGCGATGTTTTCACGTCTCAAGAGACTTGGGACAACAATTACTGATACTTTATGATGCTAATGTCTGGTTATTCTAATGCGAGGTGAGTACCAGAATGCCTCACCAGAACCAAATGTGCTTTATACATTGTCAAAAATGGACACACGTGTATGGTATGCTTTCGTATTTGCACAACTACAACCCGTCGTCCGTAAGTTTCAGCAATTATATGCTGAAGTAAATCATGCTTCATAATTATTTGAAACGTACATACATACGTATGTTGATTTCGCTTCCGTCAGTAATCCGCTGTATACTTTTGTCATTATATAATGAAATCTGCGATATACTATATGGAGACGGTCTGTTAAATAATCGAGTCTGAACCAGACAATGCAGTGGTCAACAGCATGAGCATCGATATACGCAGTTGGGATACAATGACATCAACCAAGTGTCAACCAAGTCAGCGCGCCTGACCATCCGATCCCGTTAGTCACATCTTACTTTCACCAAGGACACGGGGTCACCCCAGATATATACTACCCATCAAAGGTTTAGACTCACTAGTGTAAATGTAGCCACTTACTTCAGTCACCTGTTCTAAACTAGATTTTGCAAAATATTCCATACTGTTTAAAGGTACTGTTTACATATGAACTGATGTATCGTAAAACAAATTTGTAACGTTGAAATGATTATTGTCATGGGTTCACTAAATGATAAAAATCAGTGAAAATTGGCGATTTCTTAACAAAACTTTACACCAAAACGCAGCTGTTCACATGCACGATATCTGCACATGCTTTTCAGCAATTTCATACATGATCCTCTTGCAATTCATCCGCATAAGGTTTGCAGGTGGTTCCCCCAAGTTAATGGAGAAATTCACCTTCGATGTAACATATATACATACATACATACATACATACATACATACATACATACATACATACATACATACATACATACATACATACATACATACATACATACATACATACATACATACATACATACATACATACATACATACATACATACATACATACATACATACATACATACATTTAAGTACATTATCTATGTACAATATTTTCATTTCAGGGTAGACAAGTGGAGATTTTTGAAACCTGTGTAAAACGTTGTTCCCACCATTTTAGGAACGCGAGCGCTATCTAATCTTTGAGACCAAAGAATAAGGATAATGAAGGTATGTTTTATATCATATATTAGGAACAATGAAAAAGTTAACTGGGTGAATGAGTATGGCTTTACGCCGCTTTTACCTATATTCTAGCAATATCACAGCGGGGGACACCAGAAATGGGCTTCACACATTGAACATTGTCGGGGAATCGAACCCGTAACGAGCAAACACTTTAACCATTAGGCTACCCCGCCGTCCCAATAGCGACTGGGAAGGGCCATGGGGAATGATATGAAATAAGACTAGTTCAGCTTTCATGAACCGCGATGAATCTACACGCCACTTCTTGTATTTCCATGTCCTGTCTCTATTATTCATGAAACTACATTCACATATCTAAATGTAGATGTGTTGTTCGCAGCCCTGGTTTGTCTTCGCAAACACATGTTGCTTTTTGCTACCGTCATCGCTGTGGTTCTCGGATTTACGATCGGACTGCTCTGCCGTCAGTTGAAACCTTCCCCAAAGGTCATCATCCTCATCTCATTCCCAGGGGAGATATTTCTACGGCTGATGAAGATGCTGATTCTGCCCTTGATAGTTTCCAGCATCATTACTGGTAAAGTGACTGAGTGAGGGAGAGTTTCGTTTTGCACCGCTTTTAGCAATATTATTCAAATATCACGGCGGGGGACACCGGAAATAGGCTTATAGTGGGCAATAGAACCAGGGTCTTCGGCGTGACGAGCGAACGCTTTAACATTTAAGCTACCCCACTGCCCAATATCTGGTAAATAGAAACATTTGAGGCTACCACCGTTACGAGTGCAGCGTTAAACAACAAAGTAAAATTGATTAAACACGTATGAAATATAACATACATATGTGGAATGAAATGCATTAAACAATTCAGAAGATATTAACATATGTTTATGTACATGTCTCTATTGCAGGTCTTGCTAACCTCAATAATAAATCAGCCAGTAAGATTGGCTTATATACCATTGTCTACTACATCAGTACCACAGTATTGGCAACAATCATTGGCCTCATCCTCGTTCTCACCATCAGACCAGGGGACGTTGCCAACAACAACGTCATGTCTGTCAGGTCATCAGGGGGTGCCCCATCAGCTTCAGCTCTAGACGTGTTCCTGGATTTAGTCAGGTAAATTTCATTGAAGGTTACTATGGTACTTGAAGCCTAATTCAACGTTGTTGTATTTTCAAATCCTTGGTGTTGAAGATATTTGCAGTAGCTTTCTGAAACACACTTGGCTCTTAGAGTTTAATTCAGGTAATTGCACGCAGGAACCTTTTCCCCGAGAACATTGTTCAAGCAAGCTTGCAGACAAGTGGTACCGTTTACGTAAAGGAACAGGTAGAGGTTTCTCGGCAACAGAACTCTACAGTTTTAACCAGTCCAGACGTCAATGACACCTCATCAGTTCCAAACAAAGGTGACACACATGTATGGGCCCCAAAGTCTGTCTACAAACCAGGAATGAACACAATAGGTATGTTCACGTTGGTATTAAAATGGGGAGGTGCAGTTACTGTGAATTGTACTGTTCCTCTCCTGTTATACACATATTATATACCGTTTGTATATATAGGACCAGTATTTCAACTGTTTACATTCATGAAGAATCATGATAATGACAAGAGTTTACTGCTCATTTTCTGTCAAATCCTTGGCATTAATATTCTCGGGACCTAAACCCTAATCCGGATTTTACGCCATTGCAACAAGTGGATATGCTGCCCGATATGAACTAACTCTGGGTGTTCAGTTTGTTTGGAGCTCCACCTTCGAAACACATGCTTACCATGCATTGCCGTGCGCACAAGCACCTCATAAACTGCTATGAGGGAATTTGCAGACATTTGCATGCAAGAATTCAAAAGTTGATACATCCGTAAATACTCGAGGATTTCAAACACATTCCTGCTTAAATTTCTGACTCCTTCCTAAGTTTATTAGGGTTTGAAATATTGATATTTCAGTACGCTGGGAAACATTAATTAATTTGCAATTTGTTTCAAATAGCGTCATGTCTTATAAGATCCGGGTTAGAATATTGATCTTCAGCAACCCATGCTTGTCGTAAGAGGCGGCTAACGGAACCGGGTGGTCAGGCTCGCTGACTTGGTTGACACATGTCATAGTATCCCAATTACGTAGATCGAAACCCATGCAGTTGATCACTGGATTGTCTGGTCCAGACTGGAGTATTTACAGACCGCCGCCATATTGCTGGAATATTGCCCATTGTTGCGTCAAACAACAAACTAACAAACACAGAATGTCCCCATCACTTTAAAATAGCCAACACACTTTCGTTTCATGTTAGAAAGCAATTTGTCCAACACTACAAATCTGTGCCGCTGTATAAAGTGGTATTTGCAGTGAGGTGATCTTAACTCCTTTAGCTCAACACAGATTTGCGACATTCCTACCGCTACGCTTGTTTTGTACAACGGTACCCAGTTTATTGACAAAGGGATGTTCTTTCATCTTCAGGAATAATCTGCTACTTCGTGTTCTTTGGTGTAATCCTTGGTCGCCTTGGCAACAAGGGGAAAGTGGTGCTGCGTTTCTTTACGGTTGTTAATGACATTACCATCAAAACCTTACTGATGTTTTTGTGGTGAGTGTGATGACAGCAAACTTTTTGGGAAGAATGTTTTGGATTTTTTTAAGAATATGAATCAACCTGGACACATTTTGCTCAGACCCCTGCTCACGGAGGTAATTCAGTAATTTAGTTTTACTCATGATCGTGATGGATAGATGTCCTGTACAAAATATTGTCTTTTACATAACTCCACTGGTAAATTGTTGTTAGGATTTTGTACTTAAATGAAATCTGTCACTCTTGTTTGGTTTTCTTGTGACCGACGTCTTTTCCTATCAGTGTCCCTAAATTATTCTCATTTTCAGGTATTCTCCAATTGGGATAATGTCCTTGATAATGGGGAACATTTTAGAAGTCAAGAACCTCACTGATTCCTCAAAACAGCTTGCCGTCTACACAATAACAAATTTGATTGGTCTTGGAATCCACCTCCTAATTGTCCTTCCTCTGCTGTATCTGGCCTTGACGAGAAAGAATCCTTACAGAATCGTCAAAGGGGTACCACAGGCTGCTTTACTGGCGATTGCAACTGCTTCGAGGTGATATAGGATGTAGACGTGTCTATTGCCTTCATCCATTTAATTGTTATTACATACGTTCTGTATTCATAAATGAATTCAACACAATTGGAGTAAAAGGATATTTGATATAAAATTTATCATTGCATCCCATAACTTTAAGGTGTAAGATATGACGGATTATTTCAACATTGGAAGATTATTTTGTCCTTCAGTTCTGCAACTCTCCCTTTCACCATTCGATGTTGTGAAGAAAGGTTGAAGATTAACACTGCCATCACTCGCTTTGTGCTGCCGATAGGGGCAACCATCAACATGGACGGTACCGCCATCTTCCAGGTCATATCGGCCGTTTACATTGCCCAGATACGTCGTATACCTCTACGCTTCATCGAAGTCACGATACTGAGGTCAGGTGAACTGCATGCGTTTTCTCGAGGTTAACATATATACAGTGTTAAACCTGGACTAGTTTATGATCCGACATGACCAGACACACCAGTTCTTGATAACAACTCTCAAACAACAGTAGGGCCATCATCAAAAGGTCAGCACGTCATTATGCAGTCGCTTTCCTCAAACATTACTCTGTAGAGTACCAGTGACTTAATAATAATAAACACAGTCGGAATCTATTTTTCTACACCATCCATTGTATTTCATTCGTCATCCATTGTATACCAATCTGTATGTGTTCCAGTTTATGTTCAGTCTTGGGCAGTGTGGGCGCACCTGGAGTGCCAAACTCGTCTGTCATTGTACTGATGGTGATTCTGTCCTCAGTAGGTATTCCTCCAGAAGACGTCTCCATCCTGATGGCTGTCGACTGGTTCTTGTAAGCATTGAAAAATCTTTAAAAGGCCCGTAAGTAGGTCACAACACTTCACTAGACCTTATGTTGTTTAGTACTTCCGGTACATACCTTTTCGAATGATCTCATGTTTGTCAGTTGTCAGTAAGGAACCGATAATCCTTGCAGGAATAAAACTTTCGGATCTAACCATCCCCAAATTATCCAACTATTACGACCGTCAACAGCTGTGACAGACATGCATGGTTGTACACTTGGCCCGGTCTAGTAAAGTCATATTTGGCGGTCGCGCAAGTTGGAACCAGAGCTGGTTCTTGAATATGCGCTTGTAACCGGAAATCCTGTGCCGGAAGTAGCGCCTCGTGAGACTTACGGGCCCTATTGTGATTACATTTGAAAAGCTGCACATGTGCATACCCGTGGATGGCAAGTTATTTATTCGTGACCTTTAATTAACGACGTTGGCCCGGTTAAAGTCGTACGACATCTGCAACATGACATTTGCGTAACGTCGACTAGGTAACGTCGTCTCGATAAGTTACTTTTGATAACGTCGTCTTCGTAACGTCATTTTTGTGTTTATGAATAACTATCAAATTGTGAAACCCGTCACATACACGTGCAAATGTTAAGAAGATTTTCCCTTCCGAAACTTGTCGTCCCACGTACATGTGTGATTTCCGATTGTATGTCTTTTCGTGTTTTATTTTTAATCTATTGACTTAGTATGTTGGGACAATTCATCCCTAGGCTCTATTTCACCAAGGACCAACCTTGCTTTACCTCACAGGCAAATATAGATGTTTATGCAATCCTTGCACCTAAAAGTGGTATTAATTTTTCAATTATTCTATGTAATTATTCTTCCAACCCTCTACTGTGAATCTGAATTGTGTGATCATTCTTGTATTCCTCAACCCTGAAAATATCCAAATTAAAATATGTACGTGGTACTGAAACGTTGCTACAAATGTAAACAATATTATGACTCTTGGTAAAGGTCGGAGATGACCAGTATAGTTCATTAATATATCAAAGAAACTTAAATTTTGGAGTGGTATGTATGTATGTGCGTGCGTGCGTGCATGCATGCATGCATGCATGCATGTATGTATGTATGTATGTATGAATTTATCTGTGTATGTATGTATCTATGCATGTATGTATGTATCTATGTATGCATGTATGTATCTATGTATGTAATGTATCTATGCATGTATGTATCTATGTATGCATGTATGTATGTATGTATGTATGTATGTATGTATGTATGTATGTATGTATGTATGTATGTATGTATGTATGTATGTATGTATGTATGTATGTATGTATGTATGTATGTATGTATGTATGTATGTATCTATGTATGTATGTATCTATGTATGTATCTATGTATGTGATATTGATTGGTAAAAAATGACATTGTCCAGACAAGTACTGTATTTCTAAAGTAGGTAACATCTAGTTTTAATATGCATTACGATGTCGTAGAACGTGAACACATATCTTGTATCGGCAGGAGTCGGATGCAGTGTGTGGTGAATATAACTGGTGACTGTTTCGTAGCGTCCATGCTGGATCATTTCTTTCCGCATACACCCAGAGAACAGAAAGCGGAAGTCTCTGAAGACCAAACCTTCACGGACGTATGAGAATTTTACAAAGACATCTTTTACTCCTTGCTATTTAATCGGTGTATAAAAGAAACTGATTTTGTTATATCCAGCATATGTATAGAATCTGTACAACTTGTACAATAAAATGAACACATACATGTTGTAAGAAATATTATGATGAAATATTGTATATTGCACATGACTATGAAAACGAGAAGTGATTCACTGCTTTGGGAACAGTATCGAACAAGAATATAAACAGATGTCTGGAGGTGAGGGGAAATTGGGTTTAACGTCGTGCTTGAGAATATTTCGCTGCATGCGTGTGTATGTGTATGTGTATGTGCGGCTGCTTGTACTAGCCCAGACTTAAGCTGGTTTTTATAGTGCTAGCCCACTGAGATACCATGCCGCAGTGAAGCATGAATAGTGAGTGAGTTAAGATTTAACGTCACATCGAAGCATGAATACCCAACTCAGACACATTATACTGACTCCGATCCGACCAGTCCTTGTTGTACCCATTAATGCCGAGCGCCAGACATGGACCAAGAAGTACCATATTTTAACGTCTTTTGGTATGACGCG